AATAATTTTGTTTTTCAGATAAGATTCAAAATGGCCGGCTGGCGGCCATTTTGTTTTAATGAGTGTGGTTCTCGTGCCATATCTCTGACTTGTTTTGACTGATTATGTTCAAATTTTAAATATTCGTTATACATCATGTCATAGATAAACAGATATATTGGTTCGACGATCATATTCAAAATGGTCGAATGGTGGTCATTTTTGTGCTAAAAAATCATCAAATATCAATCATTTCTGGCATTTATGGATGGATTTCAGTCAAACTTGGTACATACATTAGACATTACTGGTTCCTGATGCACGTCATTTTATTTGTCAGATTGGATTCAAAATGGCTGACTGGCGGCCATTTTGTTTTAATGATTGGGCTTCTAGAGCCATGTCTCTTAAATGCTTTGACTGATTATGTTCAAATTTTATATATTCGTTATAAATCATGTTATATATATATATACATGTATTCAAAATGGTTGATTTTGAATGCTGTTCCAGAGCAATATCTCTCAATATGGACAAGTACTTGTTTGACGATCAGATACAAATGTCTATCATTTTAATATCGGATTTAAAATGGCCGACTGGTGGCCATTTTGTATTAATGAATGCAGCTCTAGTGCCATAATCTCTGACATGCTTTGACTGATTATGTTTAAATTTTATATATTCATTATACATGTATTTAAAATGGCTGATTTTGTTTTAATTAATGCTGTTCCAGAGCAATACTCGTTTGACGTTCAGATACAAATGTCAATCATTTTACTGTTAAATAATCATATTCCTGACATGTTTATGTTCCAGCTATATTACTATAAACAAAACTATATATCTTAAATTCGATAACTAACTGGGACTGTGTCATGCATGGCTTTTTTTAGCTATTCTGAATTAAAATAAAATCAACAAAATCGATGGAAGCAGAACATCACAAAATCACCCCCCCCCCAAATGTATGCCTTAGTGTGATCATTGGTAGTAAGAAATGAGAATTATGTTAGAAAATTTCACTATTTCAAGAATTTAGTCAATTTTTGGTCTCAACTTAACCAGTTGTATCAACTATTCCCTTGCAGCAAGGTTTCAATAGTTTTGCTATGCTTTTAGTCCCCGTTCAGGCGTTCACATTTTCTCAGAGACTCTGCAGCTGATGACAATGAAACTTGGCAGGTTGATGAACAAGTCTGTGTTACATATGCACGTAATTCTTTTTTCCAGATCTGAAAATCCTAAGTGGGTCTTTTTCAAGATTTTCATCCAAAATTACCTCTCTCTACTTAGTATCCCTAACTAAAGGTTTATCTGTGAAAAAATTTAAAAGAAGCTAATTTCAACTGATTTTGG